GATTTATTTAACAAACTGTGAATAAAATAGTCTGGGATCAATGTCACTTTGGAACAAGGCCTCATAATACCAATTGGTTACTTGATTTAAATAAACTTAAACTCAATAAACAGCTGCCAGCTTTAACAGAGGTGGAGTTTGTGTATGACTAACAAAGGACCAAAACTCCAACCATCAATTGTTCATATTGAAAGACCGGGCTCCAACAGTGAAGCTTAAAGGACCAGGAAATATCTCCAATTTTCTTTACATGCATCTTTCTCAGATATACAACAGTTTTGGTAGCGCAGTGGTTAAAATGCAGTATTGAAGGCAAACTCTGCCCGCAACCTGGAGTATGATCCTGATGGGACTCCAGGTTGACTCAGTCTTCCATCCTTCCGAGGTTGATAAAAGGAAGACCCAGACTGTTGGGGGCAACATGCAAATAATAATGCTTCTATATTGTAAACTATGCAGAAAGTGGCGCTATGGGGCGGTATATGAGCCCAAATGCTATTGCTATGTACAATATTTTTAAGCATAAAACATAATGGAACAGTGAATGTTGAACATTTTGGTTTAAACTCAGAACTGAGCAACATCTACCCCGTTTCTCTGAAAATAAGACCTATCCAAAAATAAGCCCTAGCATGCTTTCTGTGTGTGCCTAATATAAGCCCTACCCCCCCAAAATAAGCCCTACTTAAGAGCCTGTGAAGCCAAACCATTCCGTTTCTTGCTCGCTATGTCGCAGTCACAAGGTGAGGCAGGTGGGTGAAGCTGCCCCATGCGCTCTGCACCGGCTTACCTCAAGGCCCCTGCAGCCAGGCCATCCATGCCCCGACACCTGCCTTCGCAGCAACAGCACCAACAGCCATGTGAAGCAGGAACCCACGTGGCTACCAGCCAATTTCTTCTGCTTGCTCGTGGCCGCAATGGAGCAGGAGGCTGAGCGGTGTGCTGGTGCCACGGCTGCAAGGTGAGGCAGCTGTCGAGGCATGGATGGCCTGGCTGCAGGAGCACTGAGGTAAGCCAGTATAATGACCCGGAGCACGGCACAGAGATAACACAGGCAGTTGGCAGGTCACATGTACCCTTGGATTATAAAGTGCATTTAAAAATAACCAGAAGCTCTACAATTAGTCTCAAAGTCTCACAATTATTAGCTAAAACTTCCTATTTTTGCAGTCACTGCATTTAAGAGAAGAGCACGTCAGGATAACAGGAAGATAAAATGGAAAACGTCATCCCATGGTTAAGATAAAAATCTGAACAATCCAGACGAACCTACCAGTGGTATCCTCAGGTCAGGTCGCTGGTAGACCTTTTGTAGTCTTGTACCCCAAGAGGGAAAAGTCAAATTACCCATCCAGCCACCCCAGTCGCCCATCCCTGTTCCTCCTAGAAACCAATCAGTTGTTATTATATCATACTGCAAGTTTTGTTTCACCATCCTTTTGTTCTTTCTTATTTGCAATCTGTTCACAGACTGTAGGGTTTGCTCTTAGCTCTCCTGAGGCTCAAGGAAATTGGGAGCGTTTAATAAACATCACCAGGAAGTTATTTCAATACCGCAGGGTGAGACAAGATGAATGAAACTTTACACCGCTCTCCTAAGCGACAATGTTCAAAATACGCATAAGGAACAAACAGCATATTATGGAAGGATGAGAAAGCCTCTGTGCCTATTTTGGTTATTTTAGAAATGCAACAGAAAAGAAATTGGAAGATAATTCTAAATGCAGAAAAACCAAGGAGATAGGGAAGACATTCTTAGTTTTGTTCCTACAGACAACTTCTGGACACCATTTTATCCAAGAAGGAGTCTTATCTACAAGAAGTAACAAACTGCACTTTCAACTACACCAAGAAAAGGTATTCTTTGCCTTTTTCCCCCTTACAATCTACAGAGCGATCAAACAAAAGGAACTCAAATCATGAAGAACTAAGAAATTCAGACTGAGGAGAAACTAGAGAATATTCAAGTTGTTTTCCTAATCCTGCTCTGTAGCTGTATGGGTAGTCCTTGACTTACAACCACAATGGGGATCACAATGGGGATCACACTTGGCCAAAAATTGAGTCAATTCAATTCAATCGATTGGAAACAAGGCTCCACACCTATTTACATGACTTAGGAGACCCCGAGGACACAGACAAACCTCCAAGTGGCCTCAACAACTCTCTAAAAGAATGCAAATGACCAGCTGTCTCCAAGGAATACAAATCCTTCCATTCCCCACCATTCTTGGATAAGAAGTGAAACCTCTTTGAAGAAAAACAAGGAAGTCCAGTTGCCACTTAACAACCAAGTTACTTAACAATTGCAGTGATTTACTTACTGGGAATTCCCAGCCAGCCTGGCATACAGGTAGTCCTTGACGTACGACCATAATTGAGCCCAAAATTCCTATTGCTAAATGAGACAGTTGTTAAGTGAGTTTTGCCCCATTTTATGACCTTTCTTGCCACAGTTGTTAAGTAAATCACTGCAGTTGTTAAGTAAGTAACATGCTTGTTAAGTGAATCTGGCTTCCCCATTGACTTTCCTCATCAGAAGGTCACAAAAGGTGATCATTTGACTCCAGGACACTGCAACCGTCATAAATAAGAGCCAGTGGCCAAACATTTGCATTTTGATCACGGGATAAATTCCAAGTGTGAAAAGCAGGCATTGGTAACTTTCTTTCAGTTTTGTTTAGTGAATGGTCACTAAACGAATTATTCTACATCAAGGATTTCCTGTATTGTGTTCAGGTAGATCCTGTACTGCTCTTTGCAATTTTTTTAAACATTCAATATGCTTATTCAACATCAACAGTTCTACCAGGTAGTGCAAATATTTCTAATTATGCAGAATCTACCCTATTCTTAAATTCACTTGAAAGACAAAAACTGCACCAGAAATCCCTACGGTCCACACAGGACAACCCACGGATCACTTTAGACTGCAATGCAAGTGTCAACTTTGGAAGCCATATTAGTACCAAAAGCTTCCATGCTACCACATTCCTGTGCTTGGGAAAGTAGGAGGGTGGGGAATTGTAGAGTGTTGGTAGCTAGACATAATAGCATTCTTCTCTTCGCTCAAGGTCTGTTGTGGTTTGCCCGCAGCAAGTGAGGACAGCTGAGGTCTTGGAAAGCGAGGACTCAGATGAGGGGCCTGCGTGTGATGTAGGGATGGGGCCAGGACCATCAGGGAGTGGAATGCTGCCTTCCTAGATTGTGGAGGCTGGCAGCAGTGATGAAGAGGCCCCCGAGGAGCCTGTGCCCAGTGTGCATGCATGCAGGGCTGCTCGAACGAAAGAGCAGCTGCAGCAGCACGGGTGACTCGGGAGTAAGGCTGCAAGGTAAGGGCCCCTCCCTTAAGAGATAAAAGCCAGCTGAGAAACCGGAGTTCTTTGCAGGAAGCAAAGAAGTTTTTGCACTCAAGCCTTGTGGAGGTTCGGAATATCTTGGTTGGTGTTTGAAGACTCTTTGTGTTTGAAACATTTCTTAGTAACTTTATCTAGTGTTCTTGGCAGCCTTGCACAACCTTGGCAAGGCTCGTTCTTATCAGAGATAATTAGTTTGAAACAGCCTTTTAACCGGGAAGGAACGGAATTCATAAAGAATCATTAAAAAGTTTTGCTGTTACCTCTGTTTTGTGTCGGTTTCCTTGGAACAAGGTTTGGGTCAGAACAAGGTCATGTTATTCCTGCACCTGGAGGAGGAGCGGTCGAAGGGATTTCTCTAAGTGAGGTGGATGGTGATTGGACCATGTGATGGACTTATGGGCGCAGGGGCTTGGGTGTTGGATTTTTGAATTACTAAGGGAAAACCCGGAACTCTCAGATTCGGGCTTTCCCAGATGTGCCAGCATGACTCTAATAAAAGGAAACTTTGAGAAGATGCCTATCTCGGAGTTTTTAACTGGAGTTGAGTTTTTCTGCAACGTTGACATTAGGTCAATTTCAGTACAGGAGTAGGTGGATAAAACCCTCATTAAGTCTAAAGAGCTGCTCCTGCTCATCACAATTCTGAATCCGACTCGAGTGTTATTGATGATAAAAGTTATACAGAAAAAAAAAGTCCTAAAAAAAAAACTAATAAAAGAAGGAAGCAGTAAAGAGGGCGAATGACAAGATAAATAAGCCATCACTGCAAACCTTGGTAGAGTCTGATCCACGTTCTCTCAGCCTTGCACGGTAGACAAGCAGAGCCAGAAGAACTAATTCTACTTTATTGTTAAGGTGACATTCATCTTGAGGGTCAAAGATGAAAGGGAAAAATTTGGACTGCACCTTAACATCAAGAAATCAAAAATAATGACAACTGCAGAGAACACAATGCAGAGTGCGAAGCGACAATGAGATCATCGAAACAGCAAAGGAATTCATCTTCCTGAACTCTAAAATCAACCAACATGGTGACTGCAGCCCTGAGGTCAGAAGACATACAACACTTGGAAAAAATTGCCATGCCTGGCACGAATATCATCTGGAAGAGTAAAGACATCACCCTCCCAACTTAATGCAGATCAGTTAACACAATAATTTTCCCCGGTTGCTACTTATGGCTGCGAAACGTGGACTCTGAAAAAGGCAGATAGGAGGAGGGTGAACGCCTTTGAGATGTGGTGCCAGAGGCGACTATTACGCATCCTAAGGACTGCTAAAATCAGAAAGTCATCCTAAACCGAACACCACAAAAAAAACAAAAAAACACCAAAAATATCACTTGAAGCCAAGATAGCCAAACAGAGGACGTCATTCTTTAGACATGTCATGAGAGCTGACTCACTCGAAAAGTCAGTCATGCTAAGAACGATCAGTGGAAAAAGGAGAAGGGGCCCGTTAGAAATTCTGTTTATATTAAAGCATCACACAGAGCAAACAAAGAGTACAGTCACCATGTGCTTTACTGCCCAACTATTTTTCTGTGAGAGGAAACTCTATTTAGAACAAAAGAGCATAGGGTAATCTCAGCCTCCATTTGAAAATATGTATCGGTAGAAAGGAAGAAAGCTTTGCATTCACCTGGCCATTTGCTTATATGCTTCTTCTGCAACTGCAAAAATATGAGGATCCATATCACCCATGTTTTGGCCGCTGTAGGCATAGATGACATCTTGTCCATAAATTGGCAATTGTTCGTAAGGATTTATGGCAACAAGCACGATACCTGAAAAATAATGAGAAATGCAAATGCTTAAAATGATACAAAAACAAGAGAGGCACAAACATCCACAAGCAGAGTAATTCAAATATGACTCACTGGTCACTTCATAATGTAAACGTGATTTTTTTATTGTGCATTAATTTACAACCTCATTGCAGCCTGCTATTTAAATAAATAAGCAAGCAAGCAGAAGCCCTCATCCCTGCTTTTTTTAAATAGGTTCAACAGGTTTGAAGGTCTCCCAGATTAAAATTCAACTGCTACAAGTTTCCTAAGCTGGCAAAGTTAGGTCTTAACCAGAAAATTCTCTAAATTTTCTACCGTGGAACTTGAAATAACAGAGAGGCTAATCTATGTAGAAACTACAGGAAGTCCTTGACTTAGGACCATAACTGAGCCCCAAATTTCTGTTGCTAAGCCAAGGCAGTTGCTAAGTGAGTTGTGTCCATTTTACAACCTGTTTACCACAGTTGTTAAGCGAATCACCGCAGTTGTTAAGTGAATCATGCAATTGTTATGTGAATGTGGTTTCCCATTGACTCTGCTTATCGGAAGCTGGCTGGGAAGTTACAAATGGTGATTACATTATCCCAGGACAGTGCAACTTTCAGAAGTACATGCCAGTTGCCAAGCGCCCGAATTTTGATCACATGACCACAGAAATGCTACAGGGATCCTAAGTGTGAAAAACTATTATAAGTCAACATTTTCAGTGCCACTGTAACTTCAAGTAGTCACTAAACCAATGGTTGTTTTTCTTCCCCCATCTCATTTATTAAAATTGAAGTTATTCAGCACATCGTATTTTCTCTTACTTCTCAAAGCTGTTGTGAAGCTAAAACACTGTTCTGAATTCCTTAATCAGATGCTGATGCAGCTATGCATATATATATATCCAGATCAAAGAACGAGGGAATCACTCAAAGTTGTGAGTTACTAGTAACAATTGAAAAGAGATTTTATACTTTGTGGGCTGTTTTTGAAGTTTTTCTTTTTTTTCTTTTTTATAAATTTTATTGAAAATTAAAATTGAAAAACATTTGAACATGGTAAACCAATGGTTGTTGAGGTCTACCTGTAACAAAAAAAAACCCAGTCACTCATCTCATGTGATCATCTCATGTTTGGACTATTGCAATACATTCTACACAAGCCTAACCTTGAAAAATATCCAGAAGGTTCAGCTTGTACTGGATGTATGGATGTATGGATGGAGAATGGATGTATGGATGGATGGATCGGTGGGTGGATGGATGGGTGGATAGACAGACACTGGTAGTCCTCAGCTTATGACAACAACTGAGCCTGCAATTTTCCTCATAAGTCATTGTGGCCATCAGTCAGGTCATCTTGTGCCTGGATTCAATTTTATGACCATTTTTACAATGGCCATTAAGCAACTCAGAAAATTGAGTTCTAGTCCAGGCTTAGGTATTAAAGACAGCTAAATGACTTTGGGTCAATCATTCCCTCTGCTCCATTTTGCAACCTCTCTTGCCACAGCTGTTAAGTGAATCACTGCAGCTTTTAAGTTAGTCACATGGTTGTTAAGTGAATCTGGCTTCCCTGTTGACTTTGCTTGTCAAAAAGCCACAACAGCGGATAACATGACCCCGGGCCACCGCAACCATCATAAATATGAGTCAGATTAGCATCTGAATTTGGATGATGTGACCAGGGAAGGCTACAGTGGTCGTAAGTGTGAAAAACGGTCGTAAGTCACTTTTTACAGTGCCGTTGTTCATTTTGAACGGTCACTAAACAAACTGTTGTTGATCATGTAATCACAACTGCAGGATTGGCTTATGCACAATTGTGGAAATGTAAAGAAACTCCAAGTGAAATAGAAACAATTAAGAAAATTTAGATGTGCACAGAAATGAACAAATTGACAAAAGAACTAAAAAATAAGGATGAACAGGATTATTTCAAAGTATGGGATAAGATTTATATTATATACTATATATATATATATATATATAATGTATATATGTACTATTTTTTATATGACTTAGCAACGTAAGACAACTATGTGGGTTAGAAGGATTGCACCATGTCCATTGTTTTTAATCTTCTTTTCTTTCTTTTTTGTGTTTGTTCAATAAAATTTTTAAAAAAACCTGTTGTTGAGGGCTGCCTGTCTTCTTTCCAAAAGCCATGCCTATGACAATACTCACCACAATAGGTATAGATGTGATTTGATTCCAAAAAGCGGACTTTTAAGTTATGCAAGACGGCTGGTTCGTGGAGGTAACTCAAAGCTGTCAAGTCATTTTCTCCAACCAAAATATCTGGATTACGCAAAAAAGGAAACTTATTCTCTTTAGGATCAATGGGATATTCCAGGATCTGAAATGGTAAAAGGGGAAAAAAAAAATCATTTATCCAAAGGTCTACCTGGGACATTTTCACATTTCCATAACCTGACCAAAGTAATATTTTTAGGATACAAAAGAAGTGAGAAAATCAAACGAGGTATGTCCACATTCACAAAACAGAACCTTGAGGGGGGAAAAGTTGCATAAAATAGCACGACAATGTGCTCTTTAAATTAAAAGGCTTTCCTCCTATGATTAGTTCATTTACTTGCAAAGGAAAGGAAAGCATTATTACAACAAAGTGCCTAGTCCCCAGTGTATTGCCTGTGTTTAATTGTAATTTGCATAAAAATTAGATTAGAGCTCTCTAATTTAATAGAGAATTGCTTTTAGCTGGTCACCAGATTTGTAATACAGGCAGTCCTTGACTTACGACCACAACTGAGCCCCAAATTTCTGTTATTGAGCGAGACATTTGTTAAGTGAGTTTTGCCCCATTTTATGACCTTTCTTGCCACTGTTGTTAAAACATTGTAGTTGTTAAGTGAGTAACATGGTTGTTAAGGGAATCTGGCTTCCCCGTTGACTTTGCTGGTCTGAAGGTTGCAAAAGGTGATCATGTGATCCCAGGACACTGCAACCGTCATTAATTTGAGTCAGTCACCTTATACCCTTTCAGATAGGTGCCTGTCCAGTATCTTCTTAAAAATCTCCAGTGATGAAGCCCTAACAACTTCTGGAGGCAAGTTGTTCCACTGGTTGATTGTCCTCACTGTTAGGAAGTTTCTCCTTAACTTCAAGTTGTTTCTCTCCTTGATTAGTTTCCATCCATTGTTTCTTGTCTTCTCTACTGGTGCTTTGGAAAATAAGTTGATCCCCTCTTCATTGTCCCTGGCTGACCTCAGCTTGAGTCTACCTGTTGTGGTTCGCCGACAGCCGGTGCAGACGGCAGCAGAATCGGACAGTGGGGAAGAACGGGAACCAGTCTGGAAGTCCAGAGAGGACTCGGACGAGGGTCCTGAATCCGATGCGGAGATGGGGCCAGGGCCATCTGGGAGTGGGGTGCTGCCTTCAGAGTCTGGCAGCAGCGAGGCAGAGGACCCAGGGGAGCCTGTTCCCAATGCGCGCGTGCACAGAGCTGCTGGAAGGCAAGAGCAGCTGAAACAAAAGGGGTGACTCGGGAGTAAGCCTGGGAGGTGACTGCCCCTCCCATCAGGGATAAAAGTCAGGCCAAGATGACGAAACCTTTGCAGGAAGCAAAGTAGTTCACAATGGGTTCCACGTCATCCTTGAAGCTCCTTGTACTTCAGTTGGTGTTTTTTTTTAATACTTTGGTTGGTTTCTTTTCTAGTTAAATTGGATCCTTCTGTTTTTGGCAGCATTTCAAAGAACTGAAAGGAGCGTGCTTATCTTGGGGGACTGTTTGAGATTAATTCTGGTTGGGAATGAAAAAAAAAATAGTTTTTTTGTTTTAAAAATAAGCTTGTGCATCATTACGGTTTACGAAGTCTGGGTCAGAACACTACCCTGGTTACAGCTTGGATGTAACCACCTTGAAACCTGTGCTGGCCAACCACGTTTATGCTGCTGCCAAGAAAATTACAAGGCGACATCTATCCGCATATCAATTTCCAGGTTTCAAATTTGACCTTACTTTTTATCATACCGTTGCCAAAAAGCATCTGGCTCGCCCTGCTAGCAACGACAGCCTTCCGCCATGCTAATGGGGAATCTGAGGAATTGCAACCTGGGTGGGTGCCAGGTTGGGCGAGGCTGTTGGCATTGGCATGCTTCGATGTTCTTTGGCATGTTGTTTTCTGTTCTCGGCCCTGACTAACTCTGTGCTCATGTGTGCCCGCTCGCTCTTGCTGTCTTACATCCATCATGCCCAATCTAATAAATGGGAGTGACTTGTCAACTAAGCTGAAAGCAAAATGAAGGGAATGTATCTGACAGAACTAGGGTGAGAAAATAAGTACACTCTAAAAGGCTTGTACCTTGTTTGGGGCGGTTGAATTCCAGCCCAGAAATGGGGACGGCATTCATACAACATGGAAAATTACCTTGCCATTCACCTTGGTCGGGGAGACAAGCCGCCCACCATTCTGCAGGGTGTCAAATCATAACCCTGACAGCAACCTCTGCTGGCCCTGACAATTAAGAGACCAGCTACCCCAGCAATCCTTGCACTAACCAGCGATTTCTAATTGTTGATGCTGTTATAATTGGTATGACGCAGGACACAAACAAAGGGCTGAGGTAGCTCTATTAGCAGTGGACTCACAACGAGGGAGAAAGTGGAGGATTAGACTTTGAGTTCCTTTAAGGGGGGGAAGAGGAAGGGGAAGAGGAAGGGGAAGAGGAAGAGAAAGGGGAAGGAAAAGAGAAAAAAGGGAAAAGAGAAAGGGGAAAGAGAAAGGGGAAAAGGAAAGGAAAAGAAAGGAAAAGAAAAGATAAAAGGAAGGAAGGGAAGGGAAGGGAAGAGGAGATAAAAGGAGGTGAGAGAAGGAAAGGAAAAGGGGAAGGAAAAGAAAATAAAAGATGGAGGAAAGGAAAAGGAAGGGAAGGGAAGGGAAGGGAAGGGAAGGGAAGGGAAGGAAAGGAAAGGAAAGGAAAGGAAAGGAGAGGAAAAAGCAGGGAAGGCAGGGAAGGGGAAAGGTGCTGAGCTGCTATTCTCACTTCATTTTCCTAGAGGACCAATGGACCACTTAATTCAGGAAATGTCTAAATTCTACCAACCTACATCTCACCATGGTTACAAACTGATGTTAACACAATTTCCTTTAATTATACTCTGGCCCAAAGTCTGCATTGGCATACAACAATAAGCCAAGCTAAATGTAGGGCTTAGGTCTATGGGTGGCTCTCAAGTCACACCAAAGCCCTAATTTTTTTTTTCATCACAGTTTATGGAATAAACCAGAGTAACAGAGTTCAGACTCTAACCCAAAATTAAACCAACCAACTTTGAGGCTTAGCTAACAATGGACGAACCCAGCCACTAACTTTCTGTCCTTGTTATTCAGCCATTGATTTTCACTGAACTATATACTGGTTTTAAGAAACAAATTAGTAATATGGTAGGGATAGAGATGGAAAAAAACAGATCTCATAATGTTCAAGGCTACAGTCTGGTATTATGGTCCTTTACCTGACCAAATCCTCTATATATGACAAAGAACGCATCCTGAGAATAGTCTTGCTATTTTAAGTCTCTTTGCCCGTTTCTGTTTGAGAGAGCTATGGGTCAGAATAAATGGAACAAAATTCATTCCAACACAGAAGCTGTTGCTTTACATCAGGGTGGGTGCAACCTTGGCAACTTTAAAAACCTGTGGACTTCAATTCCAGGAATTCTGGGAGTCCACATGTCTTAAAGTTGCCAAGGTTGGACACTCCTGATTTAAATTATGATGCCCTTTCTCTTTTCAGTTCCTTACAGAATAGCAGCAGCACCCTGGGAAACCAGTAAAGGTGTTTAAGGATAAAAAGAAAACATATCGTGAAGTTTTCTCAATTTAAAGTCACAGCTGCTCAACTGAAACAGAGCTCAAAAGAAGTGTTACCATCTGGCCATCCAGCTGTTGGAAATGCCAGGGGCACAGTGCATCATTCCCCCCCCCCCCCGCTGTTTTTGCTTTGTGCGTGTTAAAAAAAGGCTTCCTTTTTTAAAAAAAAGATGGTGTGTGCTTATAGATGTGTAGACACAACTATTTGCACACACGCAAAGTGAGATAAGGCAGGGTGATGTGAAGGTAGTTTTAAATGAAATGTAAGATCTAACTCATTGTGATATCCTAATTTATATTACTGGATTTCCTTTTTACAGCCATCTAAAATATTTTGCTTATTATAACAAATGCATTTTATTCTCAAATCTCAGTGGTGCTTGCTTGTCCGCAGCGCCAGTTTAATGTTCCTTCAGCTATGAACTGGGGTCTGATCTTCACCACAGTTCCTCTGTGTATTTCAGTCATACATGAGTTATTTATTGCTGCAGTTTATATGACACTTTTCTACCCGTTGGAAACTCAGGGCAATGAATAATCTAAAATAAAACATAAATAATTAAAAAACACTAAGAGATAAAAATTTTATTCACCCAGCTCAAAGGGTGTGGATCAAGAAACAAACGTTGATTTCCTGACAGAAGCAGAAGAAATGAAAATAAACAAAATTCCTGAGGAATTTTTCGAGGAAATAAAATTTACAACCAAAGAACTAGATGAGATTTATTAAGATGCATGACAATTCCCAACTTTTTCATTATAATTCTGCTTATAGCATCTCTTTGTGATGATAAATTGGTCAAGATCATAGATTAGAAGAGCAGGTCTGCATGAATCTAAATCAGGGGTGTCAAACTCAAGGCCCCGGGGGCCGGATCTGGCTTGTGCGGTGCTTAGATCTGGCCTGCGGGCCGTCCTGAAAACAGTGAAGGACCAGTCCATAGTGCCACTGCCAGCAAAAATGGAGCTCAGAAGGCAGCCCTCCCGAGCTCCATTTTCACTGGCAGAGGGTTGCAGGAGGCTGTTGTGGTTCGCCGGCAGCCGGTGCAGATGGCAGTGGAATCGGACAGTGAGGAAGAATAGGGACCAGTCCAGGAGTCTGGGGAGGACTCAGATGAGGGTCCTGCATCCGATGCAGAGATGGAGCCAGAACCATCTGGCAGTTGTGTGCTGATTCCGGAGCCTAGCAGCAGCGAGGCAGAGGAACAAGGGGAGCCTGTTCCCAGTGCGCGTATGTGCAGAGCTGCTAGAGCAGCTAAGACAAAAAGGGTGACTCAGGAATAAGGCTTGGAGGTGATTGCCCCTCCCTTAAGGTATAAAGGACATGCAAAGGTGAAGAAACCTTTGTAGGAAGCAAAGTCATTCGCTCTGTTCGGATTAAACCTTGAAGCTCTGTGTGGACTTTGTACTTCGGTTGGTTTTTTATAGTTCATTTGGCACTTTAATTGTTGGCAGCAATTCAAAGGAGAGAAAGGTGGGTGCTTATCTTGAGGGACTGCTTGGGACTCATTACAGGCTGGGAATGAACATAATTCCCAGCACTGAAATAAAACAAGAGTTGTTTTAACTAAGCGTGTGCTTAATTACAGTCTCAGAAAGCCTTGGTCAGAACAGAGGCCGTCGCAGCCAAAAATGGAGCTCAGGAGCCCGTTTTTGCTGGCAGAGTGATCGGGCCACCACAGGCGCCACCAACACAAGTGACTTTGTGCTGGCCACGCCCACCCTGGCCACACCCACCCCAGCTCCCCAAATCATCCCCAAGGGAGGCTCAGTCAATCTCATGGTACACATATTGTACATTGTCAATAAAGATTTGAATTTGAGTCAAACACCACCCTGATGCGGCCCTCAATGAAATTGAGTTTGACACCCCTGGTCTAAATTCTTTATATCTTTCTGGATTGTTTCTATTTTTTTTCACCTAAAAATCCTTGTAATTGTTCAACTTCTTACTGACAAGTGTCACACAGTTGGGAAAAATCCCAAGGTATTTAAGCAAAGGTGTTTTTAATACCTGGTGGAGTAAATGAAGAATCTTGGAAATCATAGTAAAAGTTTCCCAGTCTCCGGTACAGTGAGTTAATTAAGGTGGAATTGGTTTTTTTGTTAAAGCTTTGAGATGCTTCTTTCCAAATTTCTCTTCACTTGAGCTAAATTGTTGTTTATAAGATAAGCTGACAACTGACTCATCTGCTGTCTCTTGTTGTTTATGGACATCATTTTTTTCATCTCTCCCCCACAATCTGTCACAATTACTGGTAGTCCTCAACTTACAACCACAACTGGGACTGGAATTCTGTCATAAAATCATCGCAGTTGTAACTCAAGACATTCCGTGACCAGACCTGATTCTGTGATCAATTTTACCATAGTTGTAAGGTGACTCACATGGTCATTAAGTGAATGCTGCTTCTCCAATTGACATTATTTGCAGGAAACTGACTGGGAAGGTCACAAACATGATCACGTAACCCCAGGATGCTGCAATTGATCATAAATGCGAACAGTTGCCAAGTACCTGAGTTGTGATCATGTGACCTTGGGGGTTAATGCAATGGATGTAATTGTGAGGAAAGTAAAACGCTTTTCCCATAGGTGTCATTTTTGAAATGCTATTAAATGAATGGTCTCAAGGCAAAAACCATCTGTACTACCAAGAATAGAATAGAATAGAATAACAGAGTTGGAAGGGACCTTGGAGGTCTTCTAGTCCAACCCCTGCCTAGGCAGGAAACCCTACCCCACTTCAGACAAATGGTTATCCAACATCTTCTTAAAAACTTCCAGTGTTGGAGCATTCATAACTTCTGAAGACAAGTTGTTCCACTGATTAATTGTTCTGACTGTCACGAAATTTCTCCTTAGTTCTAGGTTGCTTCTCTCCTTGATCAGTTTCCCTCCATTGCTTCTTGTCCTGCCCTCAGGTACTTTGGAGAATAGCTTGACTCCATTTTCTTTATGGCAGCCCCTGAGATATTGGAAGACTGCTATCATGTCTCCACTAGTCCTTCTTTTCATTAGACTAGACACAGTCAATAGAAAGTTCCTGCAACCATTCTTTAGTTTACTTTATTGCCATTGCACCTCTTACAACGAAATTATACACCATCTTCTTCATATGTTTTAGACTCCAGTCCCCTAATCATCTTTTGTTGCTCTTCTCTGCACCCTTTCTTTACCACAAACACAAAAAACATTGTGTAGGGAATATTTGTCATTAAGGTTTCTAGATTAAGACTGTAATTTTAGCTTGATTTTTTTTCCCCTTTACACAGATTGCTCCAAGGATGGTCCTATTCTAGAGAGCTGGAGTAAGGCCAAATCCAACTCTCTGCTCAGACCAGGAATCCAAATTTATGAATTTCATGGATGATTCACAAAATAAAGATATCAGCATTTTAGTCAGAATTCAGATATCATGTATAACCAGTTTTCATGACTCAGGGGGGTGTATGTTTTAAAAAAAAGGAAACACTGCTTTTATACATCCAAAATTAGGAGTAAATTAATAAAATTAATCAGGAATATTATATGTGTATTATTTACATACAAACACATGCTTTAGAATTAGTGAGAAAGTTTGGTCTAGTGCTTAAGATACCAGGCTAGAAACCAGGAGAAGGTGATTTCTAGTCCTGCCTTAGGAATGAAAGCAAGCTTGGTGAGTTTGTGCCAATCACCAGGAGGCTGAGAGTTCTAATCCTGCCTTAGGCATTGAAAGCTGATTGGTTGCCTTTGGGCCAATCACAACTTTAGGCATGAAAACTGGCTGGATGATTTTGGGCCAGTCACTCTTTCTCAGCCCAATCCACCTCACAGGATTGTTGTGAGGAAAATAGGAGGCATATTATATACGTCTGTCACCTTGAATTATTTATAAAAAAATAATAAAGGTGGGATAGAATAAATAAATAAATTCCCTACATTTATTATTAGTATTATATATTTATACTAGCCGAATTTTACATGCGAAGAAAATGAATTGTAAGGGAAAAAAACCCTGCAAAAAAAAACAACTGCACCGTGGAAATGGGCAATAAATAATATACCTGCTTTAACTCTCCACTTCCCTATATATAGGTTCAACATTATTCATTTTTAAAACGTGCTTACACCTCTTCTAGGAATCTCAGCCAAAGGGAAGAATTACAATATTAAAATTTAAGTGCTGGTTAACCATCAAATTTGGAGGAAAATTAAAAAAAAAACAAGCCAAAAAATGCCTACCGTTTCATCTTCAAGTTTCAGGCGGAGAGTTTTATCCCCTTCTTTGTAATCTCTGATGATTTCAGCTGATTTCCAGACTTCTTCTGGGTCAGGAATCCAAACTCTTGTATACTGCAATGGGAGAAAAACAATAAGAGAAAAAGTAAAATAATAAGTTGAGCACCAGGAAATGAACACAGGCCAACAAAGGAAATACAGTTAGTCCTTGACTTACAACCACAAGTAAGTTGGATTTTGCCCCAGTTTATGACTTTTCTTGACATGTTTTGTTAAGTGAATCACTGCAGTTATTCACTTAGTAACATGGTTGTTAAGCAAACCTGGTTCCACCCCATTGACTTTGCTTGTCAAGAAGGTCACAAAGGGGAATCACATGACACCAGAGCACTGCAACCGTCATAAATATAAGATAGTTGTGAAGCATCTGAATTTTGATCACGTGACCGTTGGGATGCCACAATGGTCATAAGTGTGAAAAATGGTCATAGGTGGTCAGAGTTTTGCAGCGTGTTCTGACCCAACCCTGTTACCAGCAAGAAAATCTCAAACGCAGCAACTCAAACCTTCACAGCTTTAATCTACAAATAAACTTCTTTGTAGACAGAAGATGGCTTGCAGCCAATTAGTCCAACCAGAAAAGCCTTGACAGAATTCTTCAGATTAGCCAGAGTCTCTATACACAATGTTGAAGTCTTAAGAGCGTTTTTGCCTTCTGCAGAGGCAAAACCCTTTTGAAACCAGGCTTATATTCCCTGGAGGGAGAGGCCATTACGTCGCATCCTTACTCCCGAGTCGCCTGTGCTGCTCCAGCTGTTCTCTTCTATGAATCATCCTGAGCTCACACGCACTTGGCACAGGCTCCTCGGGAACCTCATCACTGCTGCCAAGCCCCCACAATCCCTGAAGGCAGCAGTCCACTCCCTGAGGGACCCGGCCCCTCATCCGCGTCCTCGCTCTCCTCCACCGTCCGCACCTGTTGGCACCTAACCACAACACAGCGTTAATTCAGCGCCAGAAAAATAAACACAGATGGCGGACGCTTCCTTTAACATCTTTATAAACATAATTAGATTTTACAAACCAGTTGTACATTTCTCCAACATTGAGCAAACTCAGACAGAAACATGTTGCAAGTAACTTCCCGTAGCTCAAAAACAGACGTCAGTTTCACTTTAGTTCAGCAAGCAAGCAGTGGAGAGAAACATTTTCATTTCCATAGACAGAGCTTAACATAGAGCCAGGCCTAGACTACTTTTAGTTTCAGTTTCCAAAACAGTCCTAATTGGCTGACTTAATTGCTATGCCTATTCATTGGCTGACTTTGTTACCATGCTCTATTCCAATTCATGAATATACTCTGACAATAAGTCTCTTTTTCCAGTGCTGATGTAACTTCAAATGGTCACTAAATGAATTGTTGTAAATTGAAGACTACTTGTAACTGTTGATTCCTGACTTTAATGGTACCCCAGCCAAGTGCCTATGGGGGGAAAGGGCCCCCATATAAAATCTTGTATTATTGCCATTCAAAGTACACATTGCTCTCAATATACACACTTTTAGGATTTCCAGGCTACTGGTAAGCTAATTCAATGCTAGGTTAATAAACATCCCCCTTCAATATGGTAGGAGATAATTGGAGCAGCGGGAATTCTGTACTATTAATCAAACTATCAAGATTTATTGCAAGGAAGTTATTTTAATAAAGCCGTTGTTAGATAATATAATAATAATGACAAAAGTGTGTGGATTGTAGACATTGGTGTGTCTGCAGACAGCAAAATAGAAGAGAGAGAAATGGAGAAGGTAACAAGACCTACAAACAGAAATAGAACAACTGTGGCAAAAGAGCCACCACTTGAACATGATCGGCATTGACAAATTCACCTATCAATTGCAAAAGGCAGCTGTACTTGGAACAGCTTACATCCTTGAGACAATATCTCTAACACCACCAAACAAACGTATCTGCCTATCCCAGGTCCTTGATAGAGGGACAAAAATGCCAAATCCAATCTAAACATAGAGCTGATTGTATAATCAACAACAATAATAACCTTGTCCATCATATAGAACATTCTCCCTTCCACGAAGTCAGACTGAATCTATCCTTCTAACCATTCTGGAAGTCCTTCAAAATCTGATTGTGCCATGAGGCCTGAAGGTCTCAGAGAACCGAAGATGTTCTTCGATGAATAACAGAAAAACAGAATTGGGAGGGACCTTGGAGGTCTTCTAGTCCAGCCCCCTGCTCAAGCAGGAGACCCCATACCATTTCAGACAAGTGGCTCTCCAGTCTCTTCTTAAAAGCCTCCAATGGTGGAGCAACCACAATTTCTAAAGGCAAGCTGATCCACTGGTTGATTGTTCTTGGTGTCAAGAAAGTTTTTCTTCTCTCTTTCTCTCCTTGGTTAGTGTGGATCCATTGCTTCTTGTGGTGCCTTCAGGTGCTTTGGAGAATAGCTTGACTCCCTCTTCTTTGGGGCAGCCCCTGAGATATTGGAATACTGCTAGCACGTCCTTCTCTTTAGTAGACTAGCCACGCTCAGTTCCTACAACCGTTCTTCATATGTTTTAGCCTCCAGTCCCCTAATCATCTTTCTTGCTCTTCTCTGCACTCTTTCCAGAGTCTCTACATCTTTTTTTTATATTGTGGTGATCAAAACTGGATGCAGTATTCCAAGTGGGGTCTTGCCAAAGCATTATAAAGCAGTAATGGCTTCATTGTGGTTAATCGTTTCTTCTCTTCGGATGGTTTTTATATTTTTTAGTATTTTGTGTGCTTATTATTTATTGCTGTTACTGATTGCTGCACACTGCCTAGTGTGAGAGGGGAAGCCAGGTAAATTTGAGGAATAAGGAAAATAATTAAATGTTTCTGAAAAAGTGAGAGAAAAGAAGGAAGGAATTGGGGAAGAGAAACTAAGCTGCTATGACAACCTGAATCAATACTCCCAAGCTCTTGGGATGCTGTTAATGCTCTTACTTCTAATTATGCAAGAAAAAAATGCCATGAAAGGATCTTGGCATTTATAGCTCACACTGGGCTCATTTAATTCCCACACATAGCCGTTTACCTTCTGCGGCTCCTGACCCAGAATGCAATCCGGATGGCCATTACATTCCGAAAGACTAGGAACAGGGAACTTTTAAAATAAATCAGCAATAAAGTTGGTAATTTTTACCATGAGAGACCGAAAATGTAAATTTGACAATAAGTAGGCAGTTCATTTTTTTTTCTGGAATGTGAACAATTGGCTTAATGTAACTTGGAAATTGATCACTGTGGATTAGTCCTTGACATACGACCATAATGGAGCCTGCCTATTATAGTCATATGTCATTACAGTCATAAAACTGGTTGGTTATGTGAGCAACTCAGAGGTGGAATTCAGTAGGTTCTGACCAGTTCTGGAGAACCAGTAGTGGAAATTCTGAGTAGTTCGGAGAACCAGTAAATGCCCCCTCTGAGTGGCCCCGCCCCTATCTCTTCTCCGCCTCCCGAGTCCCATCTGATTGGCTGGGTCTTCTTTGGTTGCCTTGTACAGGAGAACGGAGCTGGAAAGCAGGTTAGTGGGGTGAGGAGAGAATGGGGATTTCACCCACCAAGCCATGCCCACAGAACTGGTAGTAAAAAAAAATTGAATCCTACCACTGGATCAAGTGAATTTTTTGTTTTTCTATGGCAGTCATTAGGTGAACGCCATGGTCATTAAGCAAAAATCAGAAGTGCAAGTTACATGACTGTGCAGGGGGGCCAACTGTTGGAACTTTGAATCCGAGTCATACGTCCCACTTTTCAGATCGGTCATAACTTCAAAGTCTCTAAGCAACTGGTCATAAATCAAGGACTATCTATATGTGCAAATCAGATTGATTCACCAAATCATGATTACTGTGGCTTTGGGTGAACCCAGGGAAAGTCTAACAGACTGTACAGGTAGTCCCCAAATTACAACCACAATTGAGCCCAAAATTTATGTTGCTAAGTGAGAAATTTGTTAAGTGAGTTTTGCCCCGACTTTATGACTTTTCTTGCCACAGTTGTTAAGTGAATCACCACAGTTATTAAACTAGTAACAGGTTGTTGGGTGAATTTGGCTTCCCAATTAACATTCCCAATTAAGATAAGGGGATTGCATGACCTTGGGACACTGCAGCCGTTATAAATAGGAGTCGGTTATCAAGCATCTGGATGTAAATCACAGGACTGTGGGGATGCTGCATTAGTCAAAAGTGTGAAAAAGGGTCATAAGTTACTTTTTTCAATGCTGTGATAACTTTGAACCGTCACTAAATGAACTGTTGTAAGTTGAGGACTGCCCCTATTGGCTTGTACCTTTAAAGGACTTAGAACTCTGAACACCCAGAATTTCCAGGTTCATCTATATTTACAGTATTTATCTCCTATGTTAGTGAAGAGCTCATGCCAACTCAGTACAGGTTAGACTTCAGCTTATGACCATTCGTTTAATGACTGCTCAAAGTTGTGATGGCGCTGAAACTTTGAACAGTCACTAAATGAACTGTTGCAACTCGAGGACTACCTGTAGGTAGTGAGATCTTGAAAATGCAGCTAGTGGTTGACTTTGTTTAACAACGGTTTAAAATCACGACAGCCTCAGCCTCAAACCGCTTTATAATTTATAGCTTACAACCTTCTCCTCTGGGAAGCAGAATTGAAGAATTAGCAAGCTCCAAGTTCCCCCATGTGCTTCATCATGGAGGGACAGTCTGGAAATTGCTTTCAAACAGTAGGACATTTTTATTTTTAAAGTCTCATTAGGCAAATCTGCCAACTTTCCTACAAAAGCAAATTTTGCCATCCGCTTTTCCCATCATTAAATGGAAAAATAGAGAGTGTACATACAGTACTTTCTTGACAGCTGATTTTCAGACTGCTCATAGACCTTAATCTACAGGTAATCATTGATTTTCAACCGGTCCCTTAGCGATTGTGAAAAGAGTCCTCAACTTAGAACCAATTCATTTAGTGGATGCTGGAAGTTACTGCGGCACTGAAAAATGTGACTTATAACTGATTTTCACACAACCGTTGCAAGCACCCCCCATGGTCACAGGATCAAAATTCAGGGGCTTGGCAACTGGCA